ATACAAACATTGAGATAAAACTTTTGAAAAATTTCTTTAAAAATATCAATTATTGACAAATTTTACTTAGGTCCGACTCGTTCCGTTAAAGTCTAATTAAAAGTACGACAACTCTAAAAAATCGTAAAATTCTGGTTACTCCCCTTTGATGATGCAACATATGACGTAATTTCAAGGCCATTCTTGTGGTATTTTTATCACAACATGAAAATAAAAGTCGTCATCATTAAAAAGTTTAAATCTTCACCTTCAAGACAGAAATAAGCGAAAACACAGGGGGACTCAAGTTCAATGAAAGTTTATTGCTTAAAGTTGTCCGAAGCATGGTATGTGTATATACAAAAACGGCTTATAAACCTCAGCAAGCAGTGGCTTCTCCGTGTCTCCTTTTATCCACACACAGGACTCTGCATTTAATTAGATAAAATAGATCAGGATAAAGGTCTGTCAGTTAACATCCGCAACTGTACTCGGCAATGCTGGTACCGGACATCCATGACTGTACCTGCTCACTAATATCAAAAACGGAATGTCAGAGCAAGATTTTCCGGATTGTCAACGTATTAAACTATAGTAATTAAGTAATTAAGTATGGATTGTTTTTTAATGAAAAATACGAATATGGAGGAAAGAAAACTTCTTGATTTTAAATAAATCTACTTTATGGAAGGCTGTAATCGCCAAAAGGTAACGATAACTGGCTTAGTGAATAAATCGAGGAAAATATAATTATGTAAACTTTACTACGCCTATATCCATTGTATGGATCGCTATAATCTCTAAAAAGTAACATTTACTACAGCGTACATTTTGTATATCTATGACTGTTTACCTGTGCCTGATATACAACATCTGCGGCTGTACCTGTGCCGTACATACACACTACCACTGACTCAACCTGCGCTTGATTAATAACATCCACGACACGAAATTCTGTGGATTTTATCCGATTTAGATTTAGACTGAATTCAATCAAAGCGCAATTAACGCTAATCTTTATATTACCCATGACAGTGATACCGAGACAAACGATGTCAGCAGTGATTAGGGAAGGATCCAAAACTTTTACAAATTTAAAATTAAAGCTTTAAAAATAACAAATATGAGCCAGGTCTTCTTTTGGGGTGGGGGTGGGGGGGGCTGAGGGCATGATTTCAATTTCCTACGTGCTCAATAATAATGATGAATTTAAAATGAAACATGCTAGTATAATTATTGAAAATATACGAGTAAACAATAAACAAAGTAAAATGAAAAGGGAAATTAAAATAAATATTGGAATTAATTTTATCTTAGAAAGTATAAGTACGTCACAATATTATTAATTTCACCCATTTCATTGATCACGCATAAAAATAGGCTGGAAGAACCCCCTTCCTTCCAAAAAAAAATTCTCAAAAGAAATAAAAATTAATTTTATATGCATGGAACAATTAACATCTTGATAACCGTGGTGTGATACCTAAAATATGCAGGGTATGGTATTAAAATAATTGATCATTTTAAAGGAAATTAATGCTATAATTATCGATAACATCCGAACAAAATATTTTTATAAGTAAATATTTTTATTAGATCCACCTCTCTAAGATTCTGCAATCAATTGTCTGGAATCAATCTATAGGGAATATCGGTGAATAGCGTTAATAGCACCTTTATTGAGTTCAGCTCAAAGAAAATCGTAAGGAATTTCTTGGGATGCAACATCCACAACTGTACCTGCCCTGACAACTCTTTTTTAAATTTTACACCATGACTGTACCTGTGCTTATAAACAACATCCATGACTGTACCTGTCCAGTACACACACTTTATTCTACATCCCTGACTGTACCTGTGCCTTATAAACAACATCAACGACTGTACCTGCCCTGACAACTCTAGAAATTTTACACCATGACTGTACCGGTGTCTGATTGACTGATTGACAACATCCACAACTGTGCCTGACCAGTACACACACTTTATTCTACATCCCTGACTGTACCTGTGCCTTATAAACAACATCGCTGACTGTACCTGTGCAGTATACACACTTTATTCTACATCCATGACTGTACCTGTGCCTAATAAACAACATCCACGACTGTACCTGTCCAGTACACACACTTTATTCTACATCCCTGACTGTACTCGTGGCTTATAAACAACATCCACGACTGTACCTGTGCAGTATACACATCTTACTCTACATCCATGACTGTACCTGTGCCTTATTGTGCAAAGTTGTATAGCAGCAAATACTTTAATTTTAGGTCATTTTACAAATAATGTATCATGTCAGTTTCATAAGATATTTTATGACATTTTATCTTTACAACCATCTTGCACTTGCACTTTGCGGAAGAATATTTACCTGGGCAATATCAAAAGCATGTCAATACATGCAAAAAGCTTATTATTAACCTGCTCGTTTATTATTCTGCATTGTAAACTTGCATATAAGTTACGCCAATTTTAGCATATTTGTTTTCATTTCATTATGACGCAGAATTAAAAATTCTACATGAGAAGAGATATCTTGCTGTGGTCTTCACTTTGAAATTAACATATATCGAAGAACTTTTATCAATCAACATTTTCACACTGAATTGTCCATGGGTTTTTTTCCGTTTACACGATCATGTCTACGGGTACAAGGTGTGACCGGTCGACAGGTGATGCTTACTCCTTCGTGGCTCTGTTTTTCTGTTTTTCGGCGGTCCGTGTCGGCTCTGTTCATAATTTGCATTTTTAAATTGGTTTTTTGCGCATGATCACTTTTCGATATCTTCACATTTCAAGTTTAAGAATAATACATCAATAATCCTCAAATTTAATAGGGATCTGACTTTTGAAATACTGAACTATTATGCGGAATATGATGTCCCTTGGTAATACAAGCTTGTACAAAAAAAAAAACTATCACACCAACATACTCATGTATCATGTTAATATGATTGAAAATAAAGACATAAAAGCAATTATCTTAAAAGAGCCCCTGTCTTTCAATTGCGACAGAGCTTTATTCTTATTATAACTTCTGATGAAGATTATGCCAGACGTTGGGCTAATATGAAGGGAAAAAATCTTAACCTTAATTCTACAAAACAAAAACAAACAGCTTAACACTTTTGGATTGTGCAGTGTAGCCTACCTGTAAATACATGAAATTTAGGTAAAGTAGACCTTGAGGCCACGTCATGTATTTAATTTTACAAGAAAGAAACACAGTGATTAAATGTTTTTTTTTAAGATATTTATAGACCTTTTCACTTCCACTTAAATGCAAAGACGGAACTTACAACAGTTGAAACAGCTCAATGTAACAGCGATTCTTTAAACTATTAATTTTGAGTCACTCAGAGTAGAATTTATAGAAAAATTAGGAACTCACAATCATTTAAATTTATCAAATAGATAATAACCAAAAAAAGTAGATAGATATTTTCTTTAAATAAAATATCATTCAAAAAAGGTTAGAACCGGATCGTAGCTTGCTAATTTCTTTGATGAAATAAGGAATCTTCTTTCCCTAAAACAGAAGAGAGTAATTTGTGAAATGAATAAAACAAACCTCAAATATCGTACAGAACTGTGTATTTAAGTGCATTCAAAGTTCCTAGGCCATATACGTACTTAGTGCATAATTCAAACTTGTGCCAACTAGTTCTAGTCAAAGGGGTGGATATGTTTTGTCATACATGTACTTGAAATACCCACGAGGGAGCGAAGTATACACAATCAGAATACCAAAATAATAAAAGTCATTTTAATATGTATTGTCTCATTTCAAAAAAAAAACATCGTCAACATGTTATTCAATTTCTTTATTGATTTAATGATATCTCTTTTGATTGTTTCACGTTAAACATAAAATCTTTCAAAATCGAATACAAAAATATCAAAAGTGTTATTGTTTTTTTTTTTTTGTTTTTTTTTTTTTTGTTTTTTTTTAGATTCTGCCATATGGTATTAGTTAGCTTAAGGCAGCAATTATCCCTATTCTTTCATTTTCAATTGGCAATACGTTGGTAAATTATTCTTGGTAGATTTTTCAAGGTTTCCTCTTATCAGTTTACCTATTTCAAATCAACATCAAATGGAACAGGAATCCATATCTTACATAGAATATGTACAATGTATAAGAAATTACAGCTTTGCTGTTCTTAAGATCATAAAAACAGCTTCTACAAATCCGCCCAATATATTTCCCAAATCATTCCAGTTTGACACGTGTATTTTCATATATGATCAGTATGCATCATGCATTCTATCAGCTGGACCCAAAATTTCCCAAAATACACTCCTACTATACATTGTGCGATCAACGAACATTTTGCACAAAATTTATCTTCTACTTTGCAAAGAATCCCAAAGTGAAATTCCATGGACTAAACGATTAGGTTAGAATTTTAGGTCGCGAAGTTTCCCATTAAAGGCCGTGTCACACTGTCACGATTTTTGCTACGATTTTACACGACTTACTAAAAATCAGAAATCGCCGACATTCGCCACGCTAGCCTTGCGTTTTTTTTTTTTGACAGAGGGTGATTTTTCTGAGTCTGTCACGATACGACTACGATGTCCGCTCAACAATGTACGAGGCTTGTACGATAACAGAACGAGTTTTGGCGAGTAATGTACGAACAGAGACGACCACATAACGAGTTCATACGAATATACATGGTTTGAGTATATATAAAGAGGGTTGCTTGAAATTCTTAAGCATCATTTCGAAGTTGGATAATTATGGCAATAGCTACAGTTCGGAGGCTTCAACTGCTGCAATATTTAGGGGAACTTAAACAGAATATTGCAGAAAATGACGAGGCGATTTCCCATTTATTACACAACGAGCATCCACATAGGCGAAGAAGAAGATACTGGATAAGATCATGGATCACCAGACGTACTAAGTATGGATATTTTGATCGCTTGATGAGAGAACTTGAAACTGAGGATGTATTATCATTCAAAAACTTCGGTAGTTAGCAAAAGGAGAGTCATACACAAGTCTAATGTATGGATTTCGAGTTCCACATAATACGATTTCCTTGCTGGTTCGTAAAGTTTGTGAAAGTATAATAGTGGAATATGCTGATGAAGTAATTGCATGTTCAACAACTACAGATGAGCGGCAACAGATTGCTGAGCAGTTCAGAGTTAGATGGAACCTGGACCACGTTCTTGGTGCTTTGGATGGGAAGCATATTGCTATAAAATGCCCCAGAAACGGAGGTTCACTTTATTACAACTACAAAGGGTTCCACTCCCTCATTCTTATGGGGCTTGTTGATGCTGATTATAAATTTATTTGGGTTGACGTTGGTGCAAACGGTTCTGCTTCGGATGCTACTGTATTTAACAACTCGGAATTAAAAGATGTCAGCGAAAATCAAAATATTGGATTTCCAGAAGCTTCCCCTCTACCGTATGATAACAGAAACATCCCCTTTTTCTTTGTTGGTGATGACACCTTCCCCCTCAGGACATGGCTTATGAAACCTTTCTCAAGAAGGAATTTCACCAATGAAGAGCGTATATTTAACTATAGACTCTGCAGAGCAAGGCGCGTTGTGGAAAATGCATTTGGAATACTCCCCTACAGATGGCAGTGCCTTTTAGCTCCTATGCGCCAAGAACCAGAGGCTATTTCATCTATTGTATTAGCATGTTGCTGTCTTCATAATTTGATGAGACTGAGATTTCAAAATCTCCAAAACGAAAATCTTGATCAGGAGGACCTGAATCATCGCGTGGTTCCAGAAGCTTGGATAGAATGTGCAAACCTTACAGAATTGAACAACGTTGTTGGATGCAATCGAGCAACTTCAGCAGCAAAGATCTAGAGGCTGTACTTGAAGCACTACTATAATTCAGCCGTAGGGGCGGTTCCGTGGCAGATGATATGATATAATGACTATGATTCAAAGATTTTTTATGTGTGTTCTGATGATTCTGCTGACGGCCGTTTTATTGTAAATATAACAAATGAGACAGGATATTGCTTTAATTTTATTGTTTATTAATAAACGTGAAGCATTCAACAATGTTAATACTCATTCTCTGAACAAACTAGAAAATAAAACACAGATTTAAATTGCAAACACTTGTAATAACATGTATATGTATACTGACAATTGAACAACTGAATCGCATTTCTATCAGTAACTTTAATGATTACATTACAATGTACTTTGTAATAAAAAGAACGATAAAAATAATATGAAACACTGATCATGATTTATAATTATTCATTCCCTGAATAAGGAGTAATTAGCAAATCTAAAAAAAGTTTTTCTTAATTAATCTGTAAACGCAAATAAAAAGCATAAAAAAATAATGTTCACAATTCTGAGTGTTCTATATCATTGATTTTCGGCACGCTGGCTAGATTCATCACAAGGCATTTCTGATTGAAGGTTGTTTAGAAATGAACTAATATGGAAGGAGTTTGAGGACGATCTTGTTGGTCATAACGAGGCTGTGTTGTGTCCCAGTTGATTGGTTGAAAACCTCTACAACTTTGTCGCTGTTCTTCACTTGCTGTTGCTGAAGTGATGTTAAACCTGTCGGATTTGAGGCCTGTTCTCTTTGTCGTCGCATTCTGTTCGACTCCGAAAAATACTAAAGGAGACTGTCGAAAGATTGACGAAGATATTGTTCCCACAAGTCGTCATGGATATAAGAAAACATGGTCTCCATCCAATTTGCCCAAGCTGTGCGGGGATTATCTGCTGACTTCACGAGCTCGCCAATTCTGTTCTGCAATGTCTTTTTCTCCGTTACCCTCTCGATCATTAAGTTGTGCTAACATGTCCGAATCTCTGGTGTTTGTTTTCTTTTTTGCAGTACGTGCCTTCATGCTTGGCAACTTCGTAGAACTTGGATTTTTAGTGATATTGGAAGAAGTACTCGGTTGATTTTCTTGCTCGTCTTCTTCATTTTCGATTTCCTCTTCACTATCGATCGTTTGAGGTATGTCAGGTCTATTTGAGCTGTCCAGTCCCAAATTTTTCCGGAACTACAGCAATTAAAAGCATTTATCAAATATAGATAGACAAAAGTAGATATATTATTGACTCTTAAAGTATTGCAATGATACCTACACTTACAGCTTGTCTACTGATTACACGAACTATATGGCTGGATAGAAAAGAAAATGAATCTTTGATCCATTTGTCTCTCTCTGTAAGTTCCTTACGGCCGTCACCTGATTTATATTGAGACAATTTTCCATACATAGTTCGCATGCTTTTAAACCAGATTTGTAAATATTCCACTAAAAATGAAAACAAAGGTGTAATGTAAATTAACAAAAAAATCTATATTAAGAGGTGTAACAATTTTCCCAAAATGCATAATTCCATGTAAAATTCATGCCTGGAACATCCATTTGTTGAGCCTTCTGCTGCCAAAGGCGCTGCTTCTTTTGTGTATCTTTGTATTCTTTTGATCCTTTATTGTAAAATATAGGGTGGTTCTTTAGCCATTCTACAAGTTCTGCCTCTTGTTCCTCACTAAAATTCAGGTTCTATCGCCTCTTTTTTTGTGAAGGTTCTGATCCTTCTTGTGAAGGTGGTTCTTCTGGATCTTGGGTCAAGTCACCATGTTCTTCAATTTCTGGACTTCATGTTTTTTTTTCAGTTTCTTTTTGTGTTTTCTTTCCCTTTCTTCTTGGAGGCATTTTGATTTTTGACAGGGTAATCATCAGATAACTTCTTTTATAGTCAACGCGTACATTCGTACTAATTCGTAGTTCACTCGCACGGTACTTGTATTGCACTCGCCGTAAATCGCCTGTTTTCGTAACATACTCGCATGAAATCGTACTACATTCCTTTTGAGTCGAGAAACACTCGCAGAAACTCGTGTGACACTCGCGGTAAGTCGTAGGACACTCGCAGCGTCGGAAGTTCTACGAAGTTCCGCGAGTGCCCTACGAATGTCGAAGATTTACTACGAATATGTGTACGAGTGTATTGCGATGGCTGTGCGATCGCCTACGGATACTTAAAAATCGTACTGTGGCCACGATTGTTTTGAACATGCTCAAAACAATTGCCGCGTTTGGCGATTTGCAGATTAGGAAGATATCCTACGACTATCTCCACGATGAACGCCGAATTTCTACGATTTTCAATTCGTACTCTGTCCTAGCCAAAAATCGTGACAGTGTGACACGGTCTTAACGAACGCTGTGTACATACAGAGTGTACATCTTTACTTTTAGTTTTAGTAAGCACGTTTGTTGTCAGCATTAAGATTATCTGACATATAGCTATTTCTCTGGATCTGAAGGACCTGAATATGCATTATAGTCACATGAAATATTTATAAATTATAATTAAAATTAAAATAATTATAAATCATATATGCTTCCACTACTTCTACTTATCTAAACAAGACTAGTAATAATTCATTAAATTGAAATGCATACAGCAGATTTCATGCAAGGTAATATGCAAAGCATCAAATCGGCCGCAAAAATATATTTCATTTTGAAGAATTTCCACAAGAAACAGTCCAAAGAAAAAATCCAAATAGAAAAAGTATATGATACATTTTTACTCTTGCATATTCATTTTCTGTGCATTTTTACACCAGTTATCAGTGATCAATTGTTAAATATTTTATTCAAATAATAAATTCATTAATACGAAAAACGAACTGCCATTGTGATGCCATTGTTTTCATACTTAATTGTCATTGGGGTATGTCTCTAAAAGACAAAACAAAGGGCCCACGACCGGTGTGGCCAGTCAACGGTTTATGATTAGTCTTCACTAGTTTCTAATCCCGATTTGTATGTTTTCAAAGATATTTAGTTTCCTCTTCAATTTGTATTGAGTATGCCAAGTAAAGCTTTTTTTCAAATAATTGCCGGCTTTAGCAACAACCATAAACAGTAAACTGAAGTTCATACATGTATATCAGGCCGTATTATTTTTGAGTAGTTCATGGCTTTGTATTTCTTCAACAGATTTTTACGGAAATTAACCCTACCATATAAAAGACTGCTTGATTGTATATTGCTCAACGTTCCATTCGAGAATTTTTTACTAAGAGACGTCAACGTCATTTTCAAGCCCTTAATTTTTTGGACGCTCTTTTTAAAATTTACGATAAAATTTCATAGGACTTATTGAATGGGGGTAATAACTGCAAATTTTACGAATAATTGTGCCGTACCACATGCCTGAAATAACGGGATTTTTTATGACAAATGCTCATATCAAAAGAGTTTTTTTTTTTAAGTTACACTCAAGTAGAAGAAACGTCATATTTGAGGTTGCGCCGATTACAAAAACATTGACAATTTATTAAAAAATAAAACTTATGATTTATGGTGTAATCTATAGATAGAAAAGATGATGCTAACTAAATATTTTAAAATTCATTGAAGTATCTAAAGCGGTTTCAATTTTATGGCGCTAGTCCACGAACTTTTTGATAACCCCTCGTACATACATTTTCTGAGGGAATCAAATAAGGAAGAACAAACAATCGGATATCCTGAAGGAAAATAACCCCTCGTATTTGAAAATTTTCACTTCATGCATTTTCTGCCAATCACAAAGGAGAGGAAGTGCATAGTCCGAGGAATGTAAAATACTTTAACTCTGTGAACCGTTTTCCAAGGAAGAAGGTATTAACTATTTTGCTATGATCACATTTCATCTGAAAAAGTCTTAAAGTTGTAAGGAAGTCAATGCGAGAACAGTATAACTTAAAATCACAGATAGATACTGAAAGGGTTTTGTTTCTTTAAACTGTTTAATTGTACACTAAATACTGAAATTACACTAAAATTTATAATGAAACATGTTCAAAAAATTTTATTGTAGTTCAAGCATTGTTCAATAATACAATTTCCATTGTTGTTATCCTATTACCATTGGTGGACCAAAGCTGTAAAGTAGAAGCACAGACTTAATTTACTGATAAAATAATCTTATATATATCGATAATCAACGACAATGGAAAATAGAGAAAGGAATATTTTGAAAGATTCTTAAATTCAATAACTAAATTGGACCATTATTAAAAAATTATGAGGATTTTTTTCCCAATACTCTTAGTCCGTGGCATATTTTTTCTCCTATTTTCTCTCTTTTTCCAGATAAATTAGAAAAGTGAATTGGATTGTGTGATGTGAAGTTTTCAAATCTATATATTCATGTATTCATAACCTATATTATTTCATGCAATCTGTTTAAACGATAAAAGATATATCTACCAACTCTATGAAACATATACTCTTAATAAGTAAAATACATGTATATATATTTCGTTGTTTAAAATGTCATTTCCTAGTCTAAAGATTTTTTAAAGAATGCCTTTGGGAAAAAAAATGAGTACAATAAATGAATACTGAATACTGAATTCAAGTAACTTAAATGGAAAATAAATGAAACATTTTGACATACTCTAAATCGTATTCACAGATGTAGTACTGTGCACTTGAGCAGGGTGCATCTCCCCACAAACCGTGCCACACGGGAGCGGATCCTATCAATGCACAATCCTCCTCGTGGTAGTTATCAGGTCCACCCGGGGTCCAAGGTATCGTTATGGTCACTTTTTTCCTGGAGAAGGCATACACCCATTCTCCCTCCACAAAAATGTCATGTATGCCAAGGTAGTAATCTCCATCATTTCCTTATTTAAACTCTTAATTTACTATATTGTCGTCATGCATAAATTCGTTTACTTAACAGATTTAGCATAAATAATTTTTTTTTAAAGTTATAGCGCAAAAAATTCTACTTTTTATCAATACCAAAGGAGATGATGAAATTCATTATGAAAAAAAATTAGACAAATCAAACGAGGTGTATTACAGAAAATGCAAAGCGCAAAATGGTAGAGAAAATATCTGTTTTAAAAAACTAGGGACCATTGAAATCCAACAGAAAATAACCTATGAATCTTTAAATAGTTTTTTGATAAGTAGGCATAAAAAATTGCACTCATTCCTTCACCAACCCACACAATAAGCTTTAACAAATCATTATTACGTCGCAATTTTTTATTAATTAAGAAGAATCAACTAAACTAGCCTGAGATTTTTCTAAATCGAGACAACCCAACCAATTAATTCATATATATTAAGAATCAAATTTTTACCAATTTGCATAGTTTGACGACCTAAGAATGTCACTTCCTCCTGAGTTATCGGTTCAGCCAATTTACTACCAAAGGATTGACATAAAGCCTATATAATAGGAACAATGAATTTTAAGCATTTTATAAAATATACATGTATTTAACTTTATCAACTTCATTATTTGAAATGTAAAAATTCATGTTTGTATTTTCATTTTTTCTGTTGATCTTAATGAAAACTAAAATTTAAAATAAATATAGCTGGATAAATAGGATCATACAACGAGCACTGCTTACCGATGCACTGTACCATGTTTCTTTCGTCTTCCCGAAGAAGTAACACTTTTCTTGGAAGTTTATCCATCCGTTTGCACACGAGGCTGGAGATTTTGCATAAAGTTCAATATTTAAAAATGTTCTTGTTATCGTATAAAAAGTATTTTTTATCATAAAGACCATTTGATTAGAAAAATTTGTATATTAATTAGAAATTCATGAAATGAACACATTATAGACGATGAGAAAAATGGAATGTCCCTAATACATTAAAATTTTTTTAAGAGCACTCGTAGTTTTGTCGTCAGACAACCATTAAAATTATTATCGTTAGTCTATTATGACCTATACAGTGAAATATGTGGAAATAACGAACAGTATTCGAGCTCAAATGTCCATTAAACATTACAAAATAGGAGTAGAGCGAACACGGACCTCTAAGACATCAGAGGTGGGATCAGGTGCCATTGAGGAGTGAGCATCCCCTGCCGACCGGTCACACCCGCGGTGTGCTCCTTGTCATGATCGGGAAATAACGGGAAAATCCGTCGACAATTCAGTGTGTAAATAATGGCCTAACAATTAGTATGAAAAAAGTCAGTCAACATTTGACTTAATGAAAGATTGTATTTGCTGACAAGGTCATTGTATCGACCAAAGAACTTACGAAATGATGACTTTAAACGATATTGCAAAACTCGGTTATAAGGAAGTCACTGATACCTTGAATTTTACTTCCTTGTGACAGAGGTTTCTTTATCTGTTATAAGGAACAAAGTGAAAAGTCTTCCACGGGATTTGTGAAAGATTCCTTATAACCGAGATTTCCTTTCAAACGAGTTCTTTATACTTGCGTTTTACTGTATAAGAAACATATTTCATCTACACTATTCAGAATCTCCCATTACAATAATTGGCAAAAAAGTTAAACTATTACATTGGATTTTCTGCAAACAATCTGACCAGCCTTCAGATTTACTATGAATTTCAACAAAAATTTTGACAAGATATTTCTCAAAAAACATTTTAATTGTTGACTGTATTGTTAATTGATATTTATTATTTCATGCGGCATTTAAAATGAAAATGGATTTTACCTTTTGTGTAAGCAAAATATGAAAGTATAAAAATAAAAACAATCCGAATATCCAGCATGATCTTACGATAGGCAGAATTACATTTGTCTTATCTCTGCGTGGATCTCCATATCACTAAAGCATCTACTGACCCCTCCATTCCACATGAATAACCTTATCGGTCTTTATTTCCTTTCCTTAGCCTTCACAGACGTAAACACAGATTAGTAGATAATACTTTATTTTTCATTTTTACATAACTAGTATAAAAGAAATTTAAAAAGCTGTTTCTTTCCTCTCATCCAATCACTAAAACAGGTTCCACACTGAAACAAATATGAGAAAACAGTCGATAAATGAAGTGTATACACAATTTTGATTTTAATTTAAATAGTGTAAAAGTAAAAGAGCAACCTCAATGAAAAGGAAAGAAATGTTACAGAGAAAAGTCTTGCTTTCTATGTCTGTACATAAATGGGATTGGTTAAAGTGCATTTTTATGCAGTATTGTGCAGATGAGTAAGTGAAATTCATATTCAAATAAGAAGATGAAATTTCTTTTTCATCGTTGAATAAAAAACAGATTTTTTTAATATTCTGAAAAATTAGAAAATACTTCTTTCGTGTGTATTTTTTGTTTTTAATAATCTTTTTAAATGTATATTACCTTATATATATGGCTGATACATATTTCTTTACTGATAATTTACATGCATTACAGTACATTAGTATTAATTATTGTAGTGGATAATATGTGTGTGTCATGAATTAAATCTTTAAATCACTTGTGTGATATAACTCTGCGAAATGCAAATTGATTACAAAGAACTGGGTATACTAGGTTTTACAATGGTCATTAAAGTGTATAACTTTCCAGCAAACAGGACAGAATTCTGAGTAAATCAGATCAGTCTAACCCAGACTGGTTTTAAATCGTGAATTTGGCATGGGTTGAGAAATTTTAATTTTTGTAAATTCTCGTTTGGTTTTACTAAGAAAATTGAGGAAAAAATGAAGTCTCACATAGATTTTTATGATACGTACTCTAAACTGTATTCACAGATAAATTTGGAGGTGTCTTTTGAGGTTTTCTTGATGTACTGTCCATTGACAGGTGGTAAAGTATCTATTGCTACAAAGTCTTTTTCCTGGTTGTGATCAGATCCAGTATTTGTCCAAGGAATGGTAACTTTAAGAGGGATCCGTGAAGAAGCGTAAACCCATTCTCCTTCCAAAAAAGCGTCGGTGACACCAATGAAATAAGTACTGTCGTTTACTGTATCAATAAAAAAAAATTATAATCGTATATATTCGTGGTATTTCAATATTTGTGTATCATGCACTAGACCAGTACCTTTTTAACAAACAAGCACTTGGACAAATAGATTAGATTTAATTGAAAAAAAATATGATTTTATTGACCAAAGCAATGAGTAAGTTTCCGACATCTAATTTATTTGAAGGAATGTCAACCCAGTGAAAAACAGAATTTCCAAAAATAAATTCCTCATTATTTATATTTATATAATTATTTGTGACAAATGTTTACATGTTATAATTTTAAACACAAGATATGAGTCATTTTTTTCAAACTTCAGCAGTATAAATTGAGTGTTTTGAACGTGTACTATTCCTGAGGTCACAGTGAATCCAAGTCGACCGTTTATGACTTAAGAATTAATTTGTCGTCATATGACGAACCTGTATCTATACAGTGATGAATACGTATTGCTCAAGTAGTATTTATTTTCATCAAACATACATTTTAAATAAATGGAAATAGTTTGAATTTCACATCGGAAAGAAACTTTGATGCATAATGCATATTAATCTATTTTCTTTCACCAGAACGTTAAATTTTGGAAAGGTCTTTGAAGAATAAAATTGAATAAGATAAACAAAGTTTACCTGTTTGAACTGCCTGTTGGGACAGGAAAACAACTTCCTCCTGCGTTGTAGGTTCAGCAAGTTTGCTATTGAATGCTTGACAATAAGCCTTCGAGAAAGAAAATCATCAGAATTTTTTCGGCAATTATGTTATCCAATGACAAAGTAATAAGGCTAATTGATGAATAAAATTATGATATTCCTTTACTTAACAATATTCTATCATAGTAGATGATATATAATTTTAATATAATCTCAAGGTTTAAAATTACTATCATACTTTATATTTTTAGATTTGAATAAATGTTTGTACAATTGCCTGGGGTTGTATGTTAAAATTATTTAGGGTAAGGACTACCTTAACGGAATAAAAAAAAGAATAAAAGCGTTTTCTTTTAAGACACAATGATAGAAATACATCTCTTTCAATATAATTTTGCTTTAGAAACTAATGTTAAATGATTATCTTTTAGAGTTGTAGAATGAATTTGAAATTTTAAAATGACAAAAAACATCTTCTCTTGCCTTATTCAAAAGAATCAAATGATGTTAATTATGTATATGTAATATTTTATTCTTTTCTTACAAAATATGGATTTCAACACGTAGTATGAAACTTACAGAAGCTGCATTCCATGTTTCCTCGAAGGTACTATAGAAATAACATTTCTCTCCATATAATACCCATCCATTTGTACAAGGGGTAGCTAGTAAGAATCAAATTCATAAAATCAATTATATCCTTAATTATTGATAAAATTTCTCTTTATCTCAAACAATCTTGAACTGTAGCTTTGCTTTTGCTTTGCACCGTTCCTATTTCTAAAACAGTCAATATTTAAATGATATACTTAATTAACGCTTTGCACATAAATCAAATTTACCTTCTGTGCACACAAAAGCCAAGAAAATCAGGTAGACTCCAATTACCATAAAAAGCTTAGATATATTCATACTTCTATGAAGAACATTCAACTCAAACTTATCAAGGGCAGTATATAGCAGTCTTCCGTTGCCGTATATCGTGGTCAGATTGTATATAGATAAGAAACTGACCGGTGTCAAAAACCGCCAAACATGAAAACAGCTTTGTTTGTCAACATGATCAACGTGATCTGCTTAAACTACATAATACTTAGGGAGGTGATAAATATCAGATGCGTAATTTATACAGCATGTAAAGGAATAACACATTATGAAATATAAAACCTTATTTGAACAATTTTTTGACAGTTTTTCTTTTTTTCGATTTGTTCCTGAATGTATAATATAATAATATACATGTATTATATAAAAATAAAGCATTTACATTACATTGTACATGTAGCCAGGAGAATCATGTGAACATTAAGATTAAAATTCGCATTGTGTCGTGTTAGATGTACATCTAAGACCTCCCCTTCCGCACCACGAGGACGGGAAATACTTTTGATAAGATTTGTCCGATTTCACAGATGAACCCCCGTCTCCTCTATCAACAAAATGTTTTGGGAATACTGACGAATAAAGATATGGTACATTAAATTTCATTTGCTTAATTATTTTTGATTTCTTTCTTTAAAGATATTCACTCTATATTTTTTAATTTTTTGTTAATTTAAGGCCATTTTAAAATCAGATTTTAATTTTTTGACCTCAGACGTGTTGAGATATATATATATATATATATATATATATATATATATATATATATATATATATATATATATATATATATATATATATATATATATATATATATATATATATATATATGCATCAATTTTCTAATGTTCCAAATTAGATTATGTGTTCAAATATTCATTTTAATATCTATTAAAAATTTTTAGTTAAATGATAATATTTATTTAATATTTATTGCACGTATGGACTTAAAATTGAATATGCATGACAAAGAAGGTACTATTAATTTTTTCCTTCGATAATAACATTGTAGGCAAATATAATTTATCATTGGGTCGTATTTCGACTGACACATTTCAAAGCAATTGACAGGCCTTTGATTTTATACATAACTTGACTATGGATTAGCTATGTCTACTTGATCAATACATATGGCTCACGGCGGGTGTGACATGTCGACAGGGGATGCTTACTCCTTCTAGGAACCTGATCCCACCTTTGGAATTTACACATTTGTATTGTTTGATGTTTTTAATTAGGTTAATTAGTGTCTCTTCATTTTTTTTTCTTTTTCACGTATTCGTCATGATATAGATACATGTACGTAGTTAGGAAGAGAAAGAACATATTTTTTTTTTAAATGTTCATAGTGGTAGTGATTCGTTACACAAGAGCATGCTCCATATACATGTACAAACAATTTCTAAAACGAGAGAAGCTATTGACAAATAAGTTGTTGAAACAAAGATATCAACAGTCTCGTTTAAATTGGTCGATACAATGACCTAATCAGCAATTACAGACTGACATTAAGTCGAAAGCTGACTGACTTTTTTCATACATAGATAGGCCATTATTGTCTACGGATTTTTCCGTTTGTCCGATCATGACGAGCACACGACGTTTGTACCCACTCGACAGGGGATGCCTACTCCTCCATGACACCTGACCCCACCTTGATGTTTTTAGAGGGCCCAGTTTGCTCTGCTCCTGATTTGTATTGTTTCAATTGGTTAATCGTTTTGAGCTTGAATACTGTTTATTATCTCCATATTTTATTTCCTAACGATTACTTGTAACAGGTTTATGGTGTCTAAGTTGAAGGACGTTTATTGTCATTTTTCGGCTTAATGTATGAGCGGCCAGTTACCTTATTGTTAAGAAAAAAAAATTACCATATTATGACAGCTGATATGGTTCGAAATCTCCCTCGGTAATACTGGATCTAGCCCTAAGTTCACTCAGATTAACAAGACGTAACACAGTATATTACTTGCCTATTCATCTACATATGATTAGTTATAGTTATATAGATAAGAAATAGTTATTTTCTTTCTGTTAATTTTATTGATATCAAATATGATGAAATAATGACTTAAATAAGAATTAGTCTTGATATTACAGAAACAAAATTTTATTTCGAAATTTTTAAATAAAATTCATTTCAATAATTTTATGTTCTATATTCAAACAATTAATAACCAAAACTCTTCCGACGACAGTCAATCTTAGACTAATAAAATACACTGTTAAAAAAAGAAACGCATAATAGGAATAATGCTTTGAATAATATATAAATAGTTGTGTCATTTTTTAATGGATATGATTTATTTGAGTAAAATTCATTATTTTCAAACGATATTGTTAACTTGACAATCATTCTATAGTAGCAACAAACAAAAAAGACCTTATTTTACAGTTTATTAAAATCTGGTCTTTCTAACACTTTTCTTTTGTTGCTTTCTGATCCATATCATTCAGGTGTAAAAGGTCTTTCAAAAACTCGTTCTCGATCTTTTTATTCTTGTATTTTTGAAAACTGACGCTATTTAGAAATGCTGCATCTGAATGATGAATATCGCAAAACGAAAGTTGGGCGACAGGAAACTGGTGCACCACAGTCAACAATTGCAAGAAGTTTGAATGTTTCATAAACACCATATCTCACCTATAAAAGATACCAACAGCATTATACAACAAATGATCGCCAATAATATGGCAGACCACGCGTGACATCAGCTTCATAGGCTGCATAATCTTCATCACCGTTCCACAATGATGGCCACACCCATGATTGATTGATTATAAAATTTAACGTCCCATTCGAGAATTTTTCACTCATATAGAGACGTCACAGTGTGCCGGTGAAATTTTTATTGCATCACCTGATGGAATAGTCAGAGTGCATGAGGGAGGATTTTGGATTTGATGGTGTAATGATATAAGCAATGGTATTGTTTACAAAAGGGACTGATCTGCTTCATATTCAAAGGTCATCAAAGGAATGGGGAGAGGGCTGAAATAGGCTGAGCCTGTTGCCCAATCCTATTCACTTATGTGAATAAAATATTGTTTACAATAAAATAAAGGACTTTGAAAGCACAAACGTACTCTGACGTTGCCCTGCCTGCACATGCTTTTCCTATAATGCAGCATCCTTGAGGTGTATTTCAATCAGACAATTCATAGCCACATATGGCTTGTTTGAGAAGCACATTCTTGCAAAGCCACAGCACCATGTTCTGCCTTGTCCATTAAACCGCCAGATTTAAACTCTATTGAACATAGAAAAATTTATTGACATATCTTCCAAAGAAAACTGCATCCCCAAGTTCTGTAAAAGATGACCTAAGTTCTACATTAAAAGTGGAATGGCTTTAAATTTTTATATATATTTAATGAACTCTTTTGCGTCCATTTAGATGACCATTTAGGCTATCATTGGTGTCTGTGGGGACATACCAGTTATCGATCTTAACAGGACCTTAATTGATTGATTGATTGTATGTTGTTTAACGTCCCTCTCGAGAATTTTTCACTCCTATGGAGACGCGACCACTTGCCGGTGGAGAGCTGCAAATTTTGTCCTATACTCGGCACTTACAGCCATTGAGCAGTGAGGGGTCTTTTTCGTGCCAGCACCTACTGCGACACGGGGCCTCGGTTTATACGGTCTCATCCGAAGGACCGGTCTGCACGTCCCACAGTGGGATTCGAACCCGCGAAGTAAGGATCAACTCCTTACTTCGCGAATCTAGAGCAGACGCTCTAACCACTGCGCCACGCGGGCGACTAACAGGGCCTTGAACTGTCTATGATTGTAAAATTCTTGAGTAATTATGAAAATTAGATTGCAAACCTATTGTTTACCACATTTCTTTGTTATCAATATATTATTCTACTAAGTAACCTTTATGTCTTAATCTATCAATAACATTTTACTAGTTTTTATTTATTTATTTATTTATTTATTTGAACGGTATATCATGTCCATTTAAATGTACTTAACTGTTGGATAATCTGCCACCCCCTTTCCGTCTACGCGTGGCTACCGATCTGTCCGTTGACCAATGAACCCAAACAATGGCACAACCTCAAATCAAGGTAAACCAATGATCGTGATATTTATGGACTCATACCTCAACCCACGAAGGGGATTCAATCCTATGCTCAAATGCTTATCTACTTCAAAGTTTCCATTTGTGTTGCTCATCCTTAGGAATCGTTATTACAGTAACTCTGCATTTCTTTTCAAATTGTATCACTTAGTGTCAAATGGTTGATTCGTCCTAACTGATAAATTTGAAACAAAACAAATAAAAGTTAACTTACAAACATCAATTTAGTCTGCTCTAGCTAGTTAGTTTCTGGTTATTGAAGTTCATGGGATTAAAATCCATTTAAATTTTTTTTTTTTAATTTTTTTTTTATTTATTTATTTATTTATTTTTGGCATAATTTATTTTGCACACAATTAGATTTCCATGCTGGTTAATAGGCTTGTATTTCATTCTACGTTCACTGATAATATCATTTCTCTAGTCAAAACTCAAATAATAATGATATGATCATAATTAAAAATTCAAAACTAAGTATATTTATTATAGGTTCTGGATGTACAAATAAAATGTTCGCTCTAGACCCTTTATCTTTAGATAATTGATATCAATTGCATTAGGCATTTTGAGAGCAAATCATGACAGTGTAACCTTTTGATGATTTCTACAAAATATATAAAGTGAAAAAGGTCTCAAAGAAATATACAAACAATAAAGATGATATTATATTTTTTTTTAGTTTATTCTTATGACCTCTTTATGAGTAAATTGTTTTTCTTCTTCCAACTATCATAGGCTCTGCACTGTAAAAGAAATTTAAAAGTTTAAAAAGTAAAAAATAAATCATCTCTATCTACAACAATGGACATTGTTAAAAGCATATGTTCACAAATTTTAATTCTTACTCATAGTCATATTCACAGATGTAATAAAGTTGAGTGGTACACTGAACGTCCGACCATTTCCCTTGTTGGCCGGAGTACACCTCCACAC